ACAAGTTAAGAGTCAAGTAAAGTCATTTTTAATATAGTTCACAAAAATGAAAGACAAGATGTACTGATTAAACAAAATAATTGTTGAAAACTTGTGAGTGAAAACTGTCATGATGGCACTGAAATGCTATTTCCTCTAAGTCCATTATTCTATATATTGGAACACATTGAAGGCTTTATTCTGCTATAATAATTTAATTTTCATACACATAATGTATTTTATACAGATGAGAGCCTGTGGTAACAGACTAAAGTTGGCAAAATTGAGTCAATAGTAAAAAAGAGTAAAACATTTTATAAAAACGATGACACCATCAAATTGTTCAAAGTCATTAACCAGCAAATACATAGAAGTTAAAGGAGGCCATTCTCATCAGACACCAAAGACTATACTTGAACAGTGATAGGGATGCTATGATCTTCCCAATAAACATTTAAGGTTATATCAAATATTAGAAACATGTGTAATGTACAAACTCTCGTAACAATGTGTCACATTTAGTATTAAAGAAGAGATTGCTTAATAAAATGTTTAAATAAATTTAATAAATGACCAGATTAAGTCTTTCAAAAACTAAATACAATATTAAATTTATTTTACTTATTACTTATGATTAATTACTAAACAGAATACATTTACTGAATTATATCTGGATTGAGGTAATATAAAAAGTTTTAATCATGTGATACATACACTGAACGTCTATTTGACTGATGTTGGATCGTCCAGCTCCAAGACTGGGTGCACAGTACAGGAGACACTGGAGGAGAATCAGGACAAAACTAAAGTTCAAGACCCTGATTGTGAACTTCACTTGCTTCTCACCTCCATACAGACAGGAAATCTCCTGTACTGCCGTCTACAACAAACAAGATGGCAGCCACTGAGGTCATCTGTCAGCAGAAGTTAACAGCTGCATATTTCATGTTGAGTTCATTTGGTTTTTGTTTGTTTTTTTATTCATCATGAAACATTTCAATTGAATAATTCAAATTCTTCTACAAAAGATTAGCAGAAAAGTAACTTTTGATGACAATTTTTTATATATAATGAATTTTATCAAAAAAGGGGTCAGCACAAAAACGTGACCAAAATTACTTGATTTTCCCAAATATCAGATACAACACCTTTAAATAATACAAACATTTATTTTGTCATTTTTGTTGGTGTGGAAGTTCAGCAAGAAAGCTGGTCTGTTGTTTGCTGTCAACTTTCTTTTATAATAAGCTTTACCAGGATGAATATGATCAAGGTGCTAATTAAAGTCTCCAGGGAACACAAGATATTTACTGACCAATGAACACATACCAATGATTATTTTTTTTCAGATGCACCCAAAACACACACAGTGTCAGGTCAGTCCCTCTGGTCCTTACCAGAAGACACCACTGGTGAATCTGACATGCAGTAGTACTTGCCAACCCAGCAGTAAGGACTACAACCCTGGTCAGAGCTGATGGAGGCAGGAACTTTTATTGGGACCGAGTGTTTTAAAACATTTAAAGCTTCTGAAGTCAGTGGTCCTTTTTTCTGCAAAGGCTGAAAAATATCTT